AGACTGATGGATAAACAGAATGGAAGTTCCCTCCCTCCTGATTCGGCCATCGCGTACGTGGGAGAATAGCTACAAAGCAGTTTGGATGGGATGGTGCGCTCCATCCAAAAGAATCCTACCTGAGGCAGAGTCTGTGTTGAACTAATGCTGTTCCATCCAAATAGCAACCCCCTATAACCACCCTTGCATCCCCTACGGTGAGCCTAGATCATTGCCATAGCGCAGGCGCAGACCTTACGACCTATTCGAGCCCTTCTCAGCGGTCCCCGCGGCCGCGGCGGCCGCGGAGGCCACAGCTGCTGTGGTGCCGCTGCGAGGCGGCACTCCGCCGGGACGAAGGGCTGGCGCTGGTGGCGGAAGCCTGGTGCGTAGGGGGCTGCCCAGCTCATGCGTGTCTCTACATGCAGCAAAGAAACAGTCTGCTTCTTTTTCAGGATCCTGCCAAAGGAATCCTCCACAAATCTCATCTAGGATCCTCCTTGAGTATGGTCTTCGAGGATATGACTCTGCGTACGATGAAGTCTGCCTGTCTGCGCCCCTTGTTTCCTGATAATCAGTAAACAAAAACACTGGTTCAGCCACCAATCAAACCTAGGAAGCCTGGTATAGGGCGCTGGAAGCGCTCCTCAAATCTCTGCAGTTCCAGGGCATGTCCTCTTTCAGCGCCAAGCCTAGGGGGCTTTTCTTAGAAAACTTGGGAAGCCTCGGTGACTAGACCTGCCAAACCTCTTTCAAGCTTGTGGAACTTCACTTGGGCAAAGCATGAACGGAGCAAGACGGCATGAACAGTTATTAGTTTGAACAAGCTTTGCCTGTGGGATCCTGACTCCTATGTGAGTTCTTGGTAACAATCTGTGCTTGTCTTCCCCGAGAATTGTGACATGGGGCGCCTTGTAAATCACATAATTTTACCAGATCCTGCTACATCCAACAATTCTCTTCACAGGAAGATCAGTGGTTTAGGTATGCCGGCAACCCACACGCGCTACATATCTCATTCTCAAAATGCACTGAAGTCTCGATCAAACCCTACATGACCCTGATTAAGCCCAACGTCTCCCTAAAAGCCGGAACCATCCCAAGGCCCTTCTCCAAGCGCGCCCTTGGACATTACTTTCTCTCAGCCACCTGCTAACCTGCTCGACAGCAATAAAAACAAGAACGCTTTTTCAACAAGTTATACAGATAAGGGCGATAAGGTTCCGTCATAGACCTCAAACATGCACTGATGATCATGCCGACTCCAAAACTGAGTAGCACGACTTTGCACCTTAACAATCCCTAAACCCTGCACCCCATACAGTCCCAAAGTAGAAAGCCCACCCTACACCTTGAACACTAAAACCGACATAGCCTCTCAACTACCTAGGCCCTTCATCTGCCCTGCATATACCCCACGTAGGGACCATATACCCCTCTTTAAAGGGTAGGTGGAGGGTCCTGATAGGAATTTGCATCAGAGGGGCTTTGGCCAAGCAGTTGCTGAGGCGCGTAGTAGCCCGGAGCCCAAGGCAAGCAGCGCCATGGCTCTCTGTCTCCGGGCGGGATGGGGGGGGGCAGAGGGGGGCGCTACAGGGGGGCTGAAGGATTTTGATGGGCCGTTGGGCAGGCTGGGTTGTAGTGTTCGATCAAAATCTCCAAGAGTTTGGAAAGGATTAGCTGTTTGGGTGGCGCTTCCGGCGAGAAGTTCAAGATAATCCTTGCAACATAAGCCAACCCCCTACTTCTACCCGACACCTACAGCGACCTTGCTTGGTCTTTGAAGGCATGCTGGAAGACTGTGTCGGTCAGGTGGTCAGAAAAACAATACTTGGTCTGAAGTAAGATTTCTTGCAGCCAGCAACAGAACACGGATACTTGCAGTAACAGTACTCGTCAGGTACTGATGGGAGTAGGCGTTGGGGTGCCAGGCTGTATAAGGGGTTGAGAGCTGCATCTCTCAATGGGTGTATGTCCGGCTACCAAACTGTGCGGCAGTTTGGGTAGCAGGGTCTAGAGGGGTTGGAACTTGAGGCGCCTAACTCCTGAACGCAGCTGCGCTTAAGAAGACTGAGGAGGTTGATGAGACTGCAGAAGTTGCGGATGGGGGCCGTGATGATAGGGATTTTTGTAAGTTGTAGGAGTATTTCACAGGTGCATTCAGACGCGCGCATGCCTGTTCAGCGGCGTGCATCTTGACAGAGAAATTTGACCAGTTTATCTGGGGGCCGGAATGGCTTCAGTCATGGTGTTGGATGTTGCTGCTCAAGCCGATGTCTGTGTGTCGTGTGCGACAGGAAGCGCCTGGTGGCACATCCACTTCTCACAGGCCAAGACATGGCCGCATACTTTTTTACACTTTTAAGGGCAAGTCCATGACGATTGGAAGTGATCCAGCCTGGCTTCCTGGTGTATGAATTTGTGATGAGAGGGAGAGAGAGGGAGAGAGAGAGAGAGAGAGAGACATGAACTCCCTGCAAGCTGCAAGTGCACAGACCCCTGAGACGAGAAGAAGCTGAGAGCTGCAGTCAGGGTCTTTAGAGGTCTCTAGAGGCTCTAAGTTGGCAGTCCCCCACCCAAGCCCCATCATTTTACCGATCTTTGTTCCTTGGTGTTTAGCGAAGGTCTCCCATCTTAAACGGGTCTTACGTTCAGAGGGCAAACCACAAGCTGAGCGTGTCCAAACACAGAATACCATGAATCAAAGCTTGAAGCCCTCTGCTGATGGGCTAGCTTGCAGCACTCTAACGCCTCTAAGCCCAAAACATCCACTCCCAACGCTTAAAAGCAATAGTCTGGGCCGAACCCGCAACCTACTGCCAGTGCCCATGTCTAAAAACACTTTGAAGACTGCTGCTAAACCTCAAGACTAAAGCCCGCCAACGCGGCAAGCATGTCCTGCTGAGGGCCTCCCTGTCCTTCGCGCACCACGGGGATGTCGCGGCCTCTCGCGCGTTGCCGAGCAATATTCGATTGTTTGAGTACTAGTATAGTAGCGGCCTCCGTGGCATGAGAAGCAACAACAAAAATGCCAAGGGGGCCTGGAGAACGACATGCCAGTAAGGTAGAAAGTAAGCTAGACACAAACATAAGGTACATGTAGCTGGAGGCTGCAGTGATGATAATACAAATCCTGAGAGGCGCATGAGCCGCTTCAATGATGATTGAGATATCTTTGCGACCCCTGCTTGCCAAGGACTAGGATTTCGAGAAAAACTTCACTCAGGACAGGGTGCACAAAGTACGTGCGCCGACTTCAGTATCTTAAGCTGAAGCTTCTGGGAGAGTTGTCAGCTTCCTGGCGCACCTGCTCGAAGAGATGTGAGGAATATTGAACAAGCAGCGCGAAATACCAAAAATACTGCATTCCACTCCCAGTCCCAGTTCGGAACTCTACTAAGGCAAGGCCACCGCGCTGTGGCCATGAGTGTTACATGCCTGGTGTGGCTTTAATTTGAAGTCGCACACCAGAGGTTGTCGTGTTCGCGTGTTGCGGCTCAAGTGCTAAGACGAGGATTGCATGCGGCGTGCTCTCAACTTGGGTGCCTTTTTGGGGACGTGCCACGTGGCACTACCGGGCACCAACGTTGGATGCTTGATATTGCATGTGTACAAAGAAGACACAGAAGCCGAAGAACAAGGGGCAACGAGAGATTTCTCACAACAATAGATTTCTCAAAACCAGAGCTCAATGAGTGAATCTAGCGATGCAAGGAGGCTGTATGGGGCTGAAAGCAGTTCCCTCTAGTGATTGTTCAGGTCTTAATTCAATAATCTCCATTCTGGCCTGCATTGAAGCAGCTGCCATTGCAAATCAGCTCGCAAACGCGAGACCTGAGGCCACTGCAGGACAGGGCTACTTCTCGAAAGGAGGATCTACATCTGGGAGCTACGTAGAGGTGCACAAGGAAGAACTAAACATGCATATTGTGGCTCAGAAAGGGTGTCATGTGAGGAATTTACAGGGTGAGTGCATGGCTGTTTCGAGGTCTCTGCATAATGGCGCCCACAGACAGACGCTTCATAATGCCAGTTAATTCCGCACACCCAAGACGCCATAGGTTAAATTAAGCTCTTCAAGATGTAGCACTTTGTATTGGCACATTTGGGCAACATGTAGAGCCTCGCTTACGTTCTGCGCCTTGAGCCAAAACGTCGTTCTGTCCTCAAGTGAGCACTCCGCGAACCCATTGTGGCAGCAAGTGATACTTCTACTTCTTCTGTGGTGGAACGGGAAGGTGGCTGACAAAGACCTACGTCCCGCTTTAGTAGATAGAATCTGCTATCTACTCAAAGGGGACTATACACCAAACCAGAAGCCCCTGCGTGCTTTACTACAGCGCGGTTTGCTACAGGTCAGTAAGTCGATACGAAGCCATGCGCTAATCTTACTGGTTGTTAATAGGGATTAGTGGAATACAATCGTTCCAGAACCCCCATATTCCCTGTATAACCCGATGTAATGTGGTTCCTTGTTCTCTACTAACCACCAGCACGTAATGGCCCCTAAACCCTATACCCTACTACATAGTAGATTCCATTTCATTTTCCATTATCCCTAAATAGCCCGTGTTTAACCCTATATAACCCCTATATAACCCTCTATAACCCCCATATACTGTACCCTTTATAACCCTAAACCCTAAACCCTAATCCCTAAACCCTGAAAAACATGGTGTCACGCACGGTGATGATGTCTTTTGCAGAGGAAAAAGCCAACAATGAGCACAGTCTCAGCATGTAGCTTGCCGACGGCGGCATCGCCTGCTGACCATGGCATCCCAACATGCAAAGCAAGCACACTCAATTGCAAAGCAGTGGTAGGGTTACAGTTGATTGGGCTCCGAACTCATTGCAGTCCCAGGAGAACTGGAGCCCATGACACTCTGAACTCGTAGAACTCTATGCCAAAACACTACGTTTAACGTCAGCAAGATGGAGCATGCAAGCAGTCTTGTTTTCCATATCTGGCGGCAGGTAGCTCAGCATTGAAGAATTCTGTACCACATCACGGCCCAGCCCTAGCTGACTGTGAAGGCTTCTTTGTCAACTTGAAACAGCAAACTTTCGCCCTCCATGACTTGTTCCTGCAAGTCTCCATGTAGTTGATACTGATTGGGCTTTCTGCGAACCAGGATGTCTTGCTCCATCAGTGTCAGGAAACCCCGGGCCGTAATCGTGATCTTCAGCAGCACGAAGTCTTTCTTGTCATACATGTTTTCAAAGGAAGTCCACGAGGTCCAATTCATGAAGTAATGGGACCTCTCGATGGCCTCTTCTGCAGTCTTCCTCAGTCCAAATCTGCCACTGAACTGGTCTGGCTTGCAGGAGCCCTTCTCCTGGAACTCTTGAAACTGGCCAGGGGTGAGGGCCACGAAGAGCACCAAACTGTCCATGGCTGCACAATTCAGCACTGTGGCTTGCTTTGAACGTTCTCAGGCTATTATAGAGGTGGCAGGCTTGGCGGGGACTCCCATAGTATTTAACTACATGCGCCTCATCCCTCCCAGACATGCCTACCCTACCGGAACACTCAACTACGGAGACTACACGCATAAGATCTCAGGCACATGCCTACGCGCGCCTGCGCAAGACTAAGCTCTGCAGGCCGAAGGCTTCACGGACACTCTTGCAGTTTGATTGCGGTCATGCTTCCTGCATCCCCAAGAAGCGCAGCTCCCCTGAGCTGGCATACAGCGGAAGAACAGACGTAGTGGCATCTATAGATGACGAATTCTGCATGAGTACGGATGAAGACGGTGACCCCAGGTTCGATGCAGCATGTGCAAATGATGAAGGAACTTTATGGGTAATTTCGCAAATTAAGCCAGGAAATCCAGACCCTGAGAGAATCAACAGCACGACCCAAATCGTGTTGACACCAGCCTGCCACCAGAATCCGCACGGTGTTTTGATCCTCCTGGCTGTGTTGGGCTCTGTGGGTCAGAGTTCGGGCTCCCAGTAGGTTTTAGATCAATCTGTTCTCATAGGGGTCGAGAAGTGAGAGAGCCACTCCGAGTCAAAGAGCATGACTCTGACTGCTGGGCAGGATGGCCCCACGCTATGAGATAAACCGCTTGGGAGGCTTCGCAGGCAAGGTTCTCAGGAAAAAGCTACTTCCGGCCCAGCCGAAATCTCAGAAGCAAATCGCCAAAACAGGGTCCATTGGAGGCTTGACAGCCTGAAGAAAAAGGGCGCACATCAAACTCTGAAAGCCATCCCAGAAGAGCTTGAGGTTATGAAGCTCAGCCAGCATGTGAGGTGGCCTCAAAATTGCTAGTTTGGCCTCTATTCGTTTCTGAATTAGGGTGTTTCCACGTTTTGGGGGATGTTGTCTTACCCCTAGCTGAAACGAGTCAAGCCTATAGTTTTAGGACGTCCCGTATCGATCTTGAAGATTTTTGCGAAACAACTACCGCCTAGACAAAATGAAGTAAGCAGTAATCTTGACTGCGACTCATGTGTCTACTGCAGTCAGCTGGCCTCAAGGCCGCCTTGGAAGAAGGCTGTGTTCTATGTCGTGCTTGCTGATGAGGTTTGTTGAGTGTTGCAGACCACCCTCAGGAACTTGACAAGTCAATGCGGGTGTACAGCGTGTATGCTCACTCTACAGAAGGTACCCCGGCGCACTTACTGATTCATAGCTTCCTTGGCGAGGAGTTTGAGGATGTCCGAGGCAGGTCTGCTTGCTGATGCCACAAAAACTCGGCGCCAATCGTGAGACCATCTCCAACTCAGAGTGTCTTGTCTTTGGGTCTCCTCCCAAGCCTGAACCTGAATCCAAAATGATAACCCTCGCCTCCCAAGCCCATTTGCCTGTGTTTCGAAGGAACGCATCCTCTGCATCTCATGCGGGCCCATGGCGCAGCCAGTAGCTTCATCACAGAGGCCAGGGTCCAGGCGAAGGTTGGGGTCTGAAAAACAATGTTTGAAGATTAGGAATAGGTTCTACAGTCGTAGCTTAGAATGGCCGTCAAGCTTTGGGGTGGTTAGCTCGGGCAGGCTTGGGGACAATTCATCTAAACGGAGGCGCATGATCCATGCTTGCTGCCCCCCCGGAATGCTCTGCAGTGGCTGAGCCTGTTAGAGAATGCCATGAGCATTCCGACTGCAATGACAGTACACTGGCGAACATGAACCCCGAATCGTTGCACCAACTGCCTAAATCACACCCCCAGGCCAAACCCTTAGCACCTGGACGTGCCACCTAAAAGCCTCACATCCAGCCCCGAATATCTGAAAACCCCTACACTCCTCCACCCTGCTCACTTTCTTTTGCCTGAAGCCCTCAAGCCATTGCGCGAGTGGTACATCCAGGCCTGGTGCTTCACTGTCCGGGCACAGGGCTGAAGCTCGAAGCACATAAGAGACGGTGTCTATATATGTTCACAAAAAATGTACCATTGGATTAGCGTGCGGTAGAAAAAAAGTCCAACTGGAGTTTACGGTTCAGGGACTCGAGCACAGGTAGGAATACTTCAGGTCCCGCGACATGAGAACCCCACCAATTCCCGGTCTTGGCAAGCCACAATCTAGAACTAGAACATTTGTCTGCCGAGTCTGACCCAACGACGAGATCCAAATAATCGGAAAACATCCATGTTTTGCCCTCCTACAGCTGTTCAGGTTGGCGCTCTCCAAGCCCAGCTTGTAATGGATGCTGAACAATGAGGAAAGGAAGGTTACGAATTTGCCGGTAATTCCTTCTCTATACCTACCCAGACCCAGTAGGCTCTTTCTTGCATGCCCTAGCCTTAGGATCTTGTGGTTGGCGGCGGGCTCTGATTACATCAGTAAGTCGGGCAGGCATGCGCCAACCTAAGTCGACCACCCCCCACTTGTGCAGTGAGCAACTCTCCACATCAAACAGTCCGGATCGAAACGAGGCAGCCAGGATATTCGCTATTCCCGCATACCGAAAAACCTGCTTCGATGCACTATATGCAATGTTCAAGGATACAAAAATGGTGCCTTGCTTTGAACGCTGCGTTTGGAAACGAATTGCACGCATCCAAGTGCTACGCAGCTTCGCCCACATGAGTGCTTGCCTCTGCTCTCATGTTGCACTTTTCCGACATGCAGCCAATCATGCAGGGAAATTGGATTTGGGATATGTCCTGCATGTATCTGCAGCCCCAGAACGAGTCATGACCCCTCTAGCTCGGGTTCCATCAGGTACAGTAACAGTGCACAACATGCTGCAAGCAGGGAAAGTTACGCCATGGCTCCCGCTTTCCTGAAGTAGGCAAGGAAATCCAACCCCCTTCCGTCTGTGCTCCCTACATACTTCTCATGAGAGGGCTGACTGTGGCATATCTTTCATAGGAATATGCTTATAACCCCAATATATCCACTATATGCCCCTATAATATAGTAGTTTCCATTCTATTTTCCATTATCCCAATATAACCCAAATATAACCCTGATATTGAAGGGACTCCGATGTAAGCATGGCTGGTCAAGGTGCAACATGAGGTTTGGAAAATCCACCCGCCAGTGTTGTTGAAGCACGGGTGCTGAATCCGATCAGCTGGGAATCAACTGCTTTACCCCCAATTGCCAATGTATTTAGCCAAATTTGGGGTCCTCTCTGATTCATAACAATACCACCGCATTGCAAGAGTTGTTGCTGCTATGGCGGCCCCAGCAAAACCACAAGAAGCCGGTTACCAGACCTCCCAGCAACAAAATGTCGTTTTTGGAGCATTTCGCATAGAGCCCGTGTGACCCTGTTAATCTCGCAGCCGAACCTGCAGTTGACGGCCCAGGGTATGTACAAACAGGCAACGTCTCTCTGTAATACCGGACCTTCCACCCTCGAATGAATCCATGCCTTACTGCAAATAGACATAGACACTGCATGGAATCTCTGTTGGGAGAGATTGTAGAAACGAGTGGTCATCAGAAGGTTTCTTCGCAAGGAAATTGTTGGGGTGATTTTGCAAAACTGTCCAAAACATGAGCTCCAAATAAAGCTCAATCAAAAACAATGTGTATACACTCACACACCTACATACATATACATATATACATATACATACATGTATATAGTCCGAAGGACATCTGTTTGGAGAACCCACGCAGAACCCTGTCACAATCCCAGGTAGCCGTGGAAATCTGATAAACAAGATCTAAGCGTGAATACATTGAATTCACTTGGGGGCTTTGCATGTTTGGGGCATCATGTGCTGACAGGTGAACTGTCACATCCAACTTGTTTGCAAGCTTCGCAAGCCTGAGATTCGGGGTCACATTGATATGAACTAGGACTTCGGGGGTATGCGTTTTAGCCCTAAACCCCTAAACCCTAAATCCATAAAACCCTAGACCCCTAAACCCTAAACCGCAAAACCCCTTAACCGTAACCCCTGAACCCCTAAACCCCATAGTAGTTTCCATCTTATTTTCCATTACCCCAATATTATCCAAATACAACCCCCCATATTACCCAAAACCCTTGAGGATCCTTTGAAAGGTTAGCGGGGTCGGGGGTCCGGCTCCTACCATGGCATCCTCCGCAAGCTGCAAGGAGCCGTCGGGGCGTGGCTGAGGTGTAGAGTTGAAGGATTAGGGTAGATGGGGTTTAGGGTAGATGGGGTTTAGGGTATATGGGGTTTAGGGTAGATGGGGTTTAGGGTAGATGGGGTTTAGGGTAGATGGGGTTTAGGGTAGATGGGGTTTAGGACTCAGGCTTAGGGGTAATTATTACTCTCCCACAAAAAGTTGCAGAGTCAAATGGACAAGATGATGGAAAATGGAATGGAAACTGGGAACATAACGTAGTTTATTGGGATTTTTGTTTCATGTGAGAATGAGCTATAGCCTAAACTCTTTAAAGGGGGTTAAATACGGTATTATGTAGGGGACTACTATAGGGGTTACGAAGGGGATACTATAGGAGTGTAGACTGTGGAGTATTTGGGGATGTGCCTGGACTAGACTATCAGGATTTAATGCGATTCGTAGATGGCAGCGCCGAGGCACAACACTTCAACAGAAAGTCTCCAAACACTCAACTGAACGAAGTTCGAACCAATGACCAAGGCCAACGCAAGTCTAAAGGAGGAAGCTACGGGGTTCGAAAGAAAATGCAACCAAAGTTTCCATTGGGCACTATCATCCTGAGTGCAAGCAGCCTGTAATAGCAAGAACCGTGACAATGACCGCCATTCAGCGGGGTTCGCTCAAGCAAAACAGGCAAGTCATCATAAGATGGACACAATGATATTGCCAAAGAGAACACAAAAACAAACACAAGCAAAAGAGCAATCGACATGACCGCCCGCTGCAACTCTCGGCAACTCACTTCTCAAGGGTTGCCTTTGGCATCCCCTCGGAGATTAAAATCGGATCTTCCGAAGAGAGGAGTGTGAGCTCCTAAGGCTGCTAGACTGTG